CGAATGTTGCCAGACCAGAGAGTACCTGTTTTTGGAGGTACAACCTGTACTTAAAGCCCAGAGTGTTTCTAAGCTGCTCCTATGACACTTACCTCAATGGGAGCCAGCCTGAAGGAGCCAGCAGGCAAGTTTTCAGGTTCCTAGGCACATCTAGCAAGTTACTTCCACAGTTCAGTATGAGTACCAGTAACACTTCTCTGTTGTGTGGTCCCTGCCAGAGAGTACCTGTTTTTGGAGGTACAACCTGTACTTAAAGCCCAGAGTGTTTCTAAGCTGCTCCTATGACACTTACCTCAATGGGAGCCAGCCTGAAGGAGCCAGCAGGCAAGTTTTCAGGTTCCTAGGCACATCTAGCAAGTTACTTCCACAGTTCAGTATGAGTACCAGTAACACTTCTCTGTTGTGTGGTCCCTGTACCTGGATGAATAGTGTACTACTTAGACAGCTAGGGTAAAAAGAGTATACTTACTACACCTTCTTTTAAAAAGAAAAAAATCAGTAGCTTGCAAGGAATTGATTAATATTAATAAAATATCTTCCCTGTAAAGTATTCTTAGGCATATATTCCCATTAATGCTTTCTGTGAGTGCATCATAAAAGCCAAATGAGCTGAAGGGTAGAGCTTAGTCCTGGAGCTTCCAGCAGCAACAGTGGTGGCAACCAACTCTGAATTCCATAAGTGGCGTATTCCATAGTTAGCCTATGAGTAATGATTTCAAAGAGATAGAAAATTATCAGGTAAGAAATGTCTCGATTTCTAAGCTAACATGTATAACACAAGATTTTTGCTTTCTTAGTGATTGGTAGTCATCCTTTTTTGTAAATCACTGAATCAGTTTTTAAAAGAAAAAACATGCTAGCATTTATTAGTTATGAGTAGAAACCAAATATTCTTTTTATTAGTATGCATTGGATTTTTTTACTTGCCATGCAAATATATTAACATCATATTTATATTAAAATTAAAGAGGTTTCAGATTCTTCTTATCATGTGGGCAAGGCCATCTGCTAATACTTGGACTCAAACCACAGATTAATTCAAGTTATATGGAGAAAGGAGGGAGGTGCTGGTTTTGATATTTCTAGTTTTATTAGTCATTTTTTCTATTTTGAGACTGTCTTTGTGGATTTTCTTGCTTGATTTTACTTATGGATTGGAACCAGTTTTCTTGGCAATTTGCTGGAAGTATGGTGGTGGTTTTGTGACTTTTATGATTAGGGCTCTTTGTCTGTCATGGAGGTGGTAGAAGTCACAGACTCCATGACTTTCCATGACATCCTTGACTTCGGCAGTGGCCCATATGGCTGACACCTGGAATCAGCTGTTCAGGTGGCCTGGGGATACCTACACTGGCTACTGCTGGAGCAGCCCATGGGCCAGATGCACTGGACCCTGGTGGAGTGGCCAGGGGCAGGCCTGCTGATGGCAAGAGGAAGGGGGGGCATAAGAGAGCCCCCCTGAGCACTGAGGCAGCAGCTGGCTCCATGGATCAACTGAGCAGCCCAGTCCTAGGGATGGCTGGAGCAGCTGCTGCTTGATGGCCCTGGCAACTGGCCCCAGGGACTATACGAGTAGAGCTCTCAGGGCTGGACAGTGCAATTGCTGGTCAGTGTCCCCCAGTAGCTGGTGCCATGCACCATTGCGCCCCCCCCTCCTTCCACTGGCAGAGCAGTGGGCCTCACCAGCTAAGATTTAATCAGAGGTAAAATTTATACAAGTTACAGACTGGGCACACACTGAATTTTAGTTTTAGTCAGGGGAACAGAATCCTCTATCTTTACTAGAAAGACCCATGACTAAATTGTAGCCTTAATTATGAGGTTCGTGAGTTAGCAACTGGACTGAGATGACCAAGCTCTCTTTTGTTGACTGCTTCAATTACAGTATTTGTGTACAGTTATCTAACTCAAGACCCTAGTGTGAACTGGGGAATGACAAGTTACAGTCCTATATTTTCTTTAGAGGACACAAGTATTATACCAAAATTAAACGGCCTACTAAATCTTCCATTGAGGGGCTGGCTGGAGGAGGCTATCCCCTAGCCCTGCCCCTTCTGCTTGAGGCCCCACACCTTCCAGGGCATTACCAGGGCTATCCCTAGAAGGGGTGCAGAACCTTGGGCAGTTCTTTGTCTGGACCTAACATTAGTAGTATATAATCTAATTTAGGATTAAATTCCTACATCCTCCTTTCAAGGATGGTATGAAGTAATATTAAAGCTGATTGTGCAAGATGTAATTTTCACAGCACTGTGACTTTTTTTTTTTTCAGTGTGCTTTCATTTTTTCTTAACATAAAGATAGGTTTAGCAATTAAAGCTCTTTGAAAGTAGTGTGAATGAAAAATAAAATGCTTTGTCAAAGCGAGATCTACTTTAGTGACCTTACAGTTTGTTTAATGTTTTAGATGTTTTGCCATCTTTAATTGCCTTTACGCTATTGACATCTTTCCTTTTTTTAAATAATGCTACCAACTTGTGATTAGGAAAACAAAAATGTTTTGTTTTTAAAGCTAATCCATGAAACCCTGCAAAGGTGAAATATTGTAAAGGTTAGAAGTAACCCAGAGTTAAGTGGAATCTTTTTTTAATGACTGTATAACTACACATCTTGTAATGGTTCTGCTCAACGTTATTTAATGAATCTGGATTTTTATATACAGTGACATTAACTGCTTTGAAGCACCACTAAATATACTAAGACTTCTGTATCTACATCCATAAATATTCATATTGTATTTGCAGAACATAGAGGGCCAGAATTTTCAGTAAGACAGAATTATCTTTGTATATCTGTAATATATACTTGGAAAGGGATTTGCATGACTTTGACTAGACAGGCCATATGTGGATGTAGACAAGTCTTATGTACCATAAGTTTAAAAATCTGGTCCATAACCAGAGCGCTAGTATTCTTGTGTACTAAAAGTGTTAGCCACGCCACAAACTTGTACAACCTTGTTTGCAATGATACGAAATGCACACTGGACTGAGGATGTTAAATTTCAATTAATCAGCTAATCAAGTAGTAAATGGGATTTCCATCAGTTACTCAGTTAGTCAATAAAGAGGGCTGGGGGGCCCGCTAATCTGCACCTCTGCCTTTAAATGCAGTAAGACCTTCCCGCATCTCTTACTACATTTAAACGTAAGAACGCCCATGGTGGGTCAGATCAAAGGTCCTTCTAGCCCAGTATCCTGTCTGTCAACAGTGGCCAATACCAAATACCTCAGAGGGAGGGAACACAACAGGTAATCCTCATGTGATCCCACCCCTGTCTCCCATTTCCAGACAAGGGTCCCGACTTTTGCACCTCTGCCTTTTAAATGTAGTAACAGCCCCGCTCACGCCATTTCCCTGCTGCAACTCTGCCTCCCCTGCCCCCCTGCAGAGATGGCTATGGGGAACTGGCTGTTAAGCTGGCTCCCCCCCAGCACTCACTCCTGCTTCTTCCCCCCAGCACTCACTTCTGATACAGAGGCAGCAAGGTTGGGGAGGAGCAACTAATCAAGTAGTGACTTGACTGCCTGACTAGTCACTTACTTTTGATCTGCCTGACTAGTTAGTCACAAAGGGTATGTCTAGACTACGTGGCTCTGTCGCCAGAGCCATGTAGATTAGTTTACTAGACATACCCAAATGAAGTGGCGATTTAAATAATTGCTGCTTCATTTAAATTAAAATGGCTACCGCGCTGAGCCAATCAGCTGTTTGTCGGCTCAGCGCGCTAGTCTGGACGCTCCGCAGTCGACATCAAAGGTATTTGTTGACCGCCCTGTTATGCCTCGTGGGATGAGGTTTACCGGATGAGGCATAACGGGGCAGTCGACAAATGCCTTTGATGTCGACTGCGGAGCATCCAGACTAGCACGCTGAGCCGACAAACAGCTGATTGGCTCAGCGCGGTAGCCATTTTAATTTAAATGAAGCAGCGATTATTTACATCGCTGCTTCATTTGGGTATGTCTAGTAAACTAATCTACATGGCTCTGGCAACAGAGCCATGTAGTCTAGACATACCCTTAGTTACTACACTGGACAAGGCAGGGGCTTACTCAACACTGCCTCTTTGCATGTCTATGTATGTAGATTGTAAAACCATAGAAATGGGACAGTTACATCCTATGTCTTGCATATGACATTCTTGTTAAAGCTAACATCATTGTGTCTCCACAGGGAAGTAGTGTGTGCAGACTTGCTGAGTGCACTGTGCTCCCCACAGCTCCTGCCACTGCAGGAAATATAGGGATGAGGGTGCCCTGGCTGCATCCCCAGGCCTGACAATCACCGAGGCCATGTCCCTCAGGGAAAAGGTGCAGTGGGGGAAGAAGGCAGGTTGGGATTTGGGGATTGGGTACAGATCCCACCCCACCTCCAAGACCACTGGGACTCCTGGATTGGATTACAAAAATGCTCTGGCTGTAGATTAGCATCCAGATCCTTTTAAGCAGTACTACTGCCTAACGGGTTATTTAATTGTGCATTTAATTTTTGCTTCCTAAGTATAAGGTTTGCATTTGTCATTCTTGTGTTTTATTGTGTTGATTTATGCAAATCCTCCTTTCTTGGTGTCATCTACAAATTTTATAAGCAAACCCTCCGCTCCATATTCCAAGTCATAATAAAAATACTGATTAGAGCTGGATTCAGGAGAGATCACTGTGAAACCCTCCTACATATGTTCTTTCTGCATTTTGACAGCAAACCATTGATAACTACTCTGTGAGTGAAGTATTTCAACTTGTTTTTTCCCCCTCCTTGTTGTAGACTTCATCTAGCTCACATTTCCCTAGTTTGCTAATGAGATTGTCATGTGGGGAAAAAAAATCAAGGTATGTCCCTTCCACAGCTCCCTCTGCAATCCAGTAGGTTAAAACCCTGTCACAGAAGGAAATTCAGTTTTGTGTGCTTTGTTCTTGACTAATCCATGATGGGTATTTCTTATAACCCTGTTGTGCTCTAGGTACTTATAAATCGATTACTTAATAATTTGTTTTAATATCTTGCTAGGAATAAAGGTAAAACATGATCGGTCTATAATTCCCTAGATTCCTATTGTATCATCCCTTTTTGTCCTTCCTCCCCCATTTTCTTCAGGAGAAGGGCAAACTTAGTACTTATCTTTAAAAGGAGACACAAGAAACAGTATATGTTCACATACTATTACACAAGTAATAAAACATTATGCCATTTTTTTTCTACAACTGTTGGCGGCTGCATTTTGAAAGTTTGGCCTCTTTGGAACCAAACCTGATGCACTCTGCTGTTTGTATGTATAAATGAATTCTTATTCTGTCTGGCTTGTGTTATTGTGTGTGTGTGTGTGTGTGTGTGTGTGTGTATTCATGTGCAGCATGCATATATATATATAAAAGGTGGTTTTAAAAAAAAATGGTGTGTATATCATGCACAAAAGGAGTAGAGTTGAGATTGCACCTACAACTTGAATATTGGCATTTATTGACCTGAGTGCTTAAATGTGCCATCAGAATATCTCTAAAATCTAATATCTCTAAAATCTTTCATGGAGTTTAAATTTAAACTCCCAAAACATTGATGCATTGGTGAAACTTCCCAGTTTTTACTGTTGAAATTTTTTAGTCACAAGGAGGAAGGGTGCAACCAAAAGTTATTCAGTTTGTTTTGTAGGAAGGGGTTTTACCGCTCTGACCTAAACATAGCTAGTTTGTCAATTAAATATTCTTTTTTAAATAAAAACTCCATAAATAGTAAAATTACATTTAAGATGAGACCTCCCATGCAAGTTTCAAAATGTATTTTATAAAATGAAGACTTTCACGTGGAAGGTAGTATAGTTCACTGTACTATAGGGCATTGAGCTAGGAATCAGATCCTGGGTCCTTGTCCTGGGATTGCCAGAGAGCTGCTTTGTGTTCTTTGTCAAGTCACACTTTTTCTTTCATATCTTGGGCCTGTGCAGTTTAAAAGTTCTTTGGGATAGGATTTGTCTCTTAATGTGTCTGTATAGTTCCTCATGCAGTGGGGCTTTGATCCTGATTGGAGTCTCCATAACACGTTTTAGAGATCAGTTGGCCTGGAACTTATCTAGAGATCTTTGCACACAAAAATCCTTCTAAATCATGTACACTTGACATTTCCATACCATCCTATTTCACTATCCTCTACTTGAGAAGCAATATTAAGATGTGAAATTATTGTATGCACAATTAATCTATTATATACACTTAATTTCAGATTCTCACACTTAAGACAACATAAATCCAAAATGCTTAAAACGTGAAATCTCTGACCAACTCATTATTATGTGTAAGGGTCACAGTAGCAGTGGAATAGATGATCATTGTACATTAAACACCTGTATCGTTATGTTATGTTTATCTTTTAATTGATCACTAGAGTGTACTGTGACATTACTGCTAGCCATGATAAAATAGTCTTGCTCTGGAAAGAACTTTGTTATCTAGATTGAATTATACTTGCTATGACAAAAATCACCTTGGTTTTTACTTCTTTATAGTGGTGCTATGAATTCTTTGGGCAGGTATAGGAAGGAGAGTGCATCTGACTTAGTCAGGAATTTTTACTGCAAGGAAGATAACACATTCTGTTATGTGGGTCTCAAAAACAGTAACGATTTTACAATTCTCAAGTATCTGAATTGTAAATACTATTGTTTCAGCTCAGAAGATTGGACAGGGTTTGTTGTACAGAACACCAGTGTTCTACCTTAGTAGAATGAAGGCACTGTTGAGCATCACAAGGCTCTCCTTTTCCATCCTATAGCTGGAGCATGTAACTTCTATTCCTTCTTCTAGCTCTTGACTATAAGAATGAGAGACCTGAAGTGACAGCAAACATGTCTTATGCACAGAAATGTAGAAAGTTACTGCTGAGCCACTGAATCAGAAATAGCAAGCTTTTCTTATTAATGTTGAGTTGGAGGAATTATCCCCAATGGTGTCTCCACAAGCTTTAATTTGGCATCCATCATGGGACCATTGAGTTTTAATGCATTCTACAGAGTGCACAGTCCTTCAGTACATTAACCTAACTATGGTTTAAGAAAGCCTATTTCTGTTGTCTTTTTACCGTACTCAGTGACTCACCTAAATTCAGATGAATGTTGGAGTTGAGAGTTCATGATAAATAAATTCTTGTGTCTAAGTGGGAAAGATCCTATATGCAGTTTTTTTGGATCACTGGGCAATTTGCTCAGCTTGGAAAAAGATTCACATCTTAATGGGAAATTTTGAAACCATATTTTTTTTCTTGATATTAAAGCATACTGTTTTATTCCCTGAATCTAAATTTATGCCTTTTTATGTATATTTATCAGAATGTAGACCATGTATATGAAGGACGGTACTTGCGTTTGTGTGCTGAAGGTTTACCATCTCTAGTATTGAATAATCAGCACTATACTTAGAGAGAAATAATGCAGTAGTTCTGTAGCACTTGACTTAATGCTATAGCCACCTCTTTGAAGACAACGATTTTAGGAGTAGCAATTGTATCATTCCCAGATTTATTATGACTAGGTTTACATACTTTGCGCTTATTTCAGTTAGAGTGCTCAACTGTTTAATATTTTTATGTAATGTATTTATTTAGGTTACAAAGTCAGGCACTCAGAAATGAGGAAATGCTATAATTCAGGTTGCCTATGCGGGAAGTCTATTACAGTTCTAATAATCAAGTAGCTAGCTTGGGAGCCCATTCTCCACCACTATACCACACAGAAAACCTTCCACCTAGAGATCTTGGATTTGATGTTGGATTTGCTACTATTTTACAATTCAGTGAATATTCAGAGGGAACTTTTGTTTGAATTTGTTTTTTGCTGGGCCACCCATGTACTTCTGACTGAGGTAGTTATTTAAATAGGAACAATATTGCTAACTGTGCTCACTGTGGGCTGTCACGCGAAGGATACTCATTTCACTGATTTCTTTCAGTGGTTTGAGATTCCCTTCTCCAGATTGTTGCTCTCCTCACCATAGCTCGTGTAGTACAGTAGAGTAAGTCTGAGGGCAGCTGACAGTCCTGTTACATTCCAAGAATGTTGAATCAGCAACTTTCGTGTCTTTTCCTCCCAGATGCACAATCAAATGCAGCCCAGGTCAAGAAGAAGATCGTGTTTCTGATTTACCACAACTGGAGAATTATAAGTAACTTGATTTCTGGCATTTTAAAGATTTTTGGCGCACATTTTCTGTTAGCTCTTTATATAGCTTTTGTTTCAGAATGTCACTGAGATACTTCACTGTGTAATTTTTTACCTTGCAGTCCATGGTTAGTGACATCCTTGACTAGCTCTACTGCAACAGAGCCTATCACATTTGCAGCTATTGTAGAGGAAGAGCTCCAACAAGAAGCAGCTCTTATCAGGAGCAGAGAGAAACCTTTGGCTCTGATCCAGGTAAAGGAAGCTGTATTTTTAACTACTTCTTTCAAAGGTGACATTTTATAATTGATTATTCATTTGCTACATAGTGTCTACCAGCTGTTAAACCGTGACCAGGCTTATTTTTGGAGATTTGGGCTAGCCTGCAGTGTTTGAGGCCCTTAGCTGCTGGTGCGAGGGTCCATGTTTCACAATTTTCTTTGCCTGCCCTCATGGTTTGGAGTGTGTTGCCTTTTTCAAGTGCTTCAAGTATATTCCCCATTAGAGGTGTGTGCTCGCCACATGCATTAGTGCTAAAAGTTTTTCCCTCAGCAGTATCTATAGCAGACCAGCCATGGCACCCGCTCGAGTGGCTCCTGCATGGCATGGTATAAGGGGTGCCTCCGTCTCTCTCCACCCTCAGTTCCTTCTTGCCACCAATGATGGTCTTCAGTCGTGCAAACCTGTAAAATTAGTGTACATATTTTTGTTCTCTCCAAATGGGACTTAGGGAGGCATAGGGCATGCCTCATACCTAGACCAGTGTTTCTTAAACTGTGTTCCGCGGTACAGGCAGTTGGAGATGTGCCGCAGAGAACAACAGAATTCAAAATGGCTGCCTTTAAAGGGGCAGACAGCCTTTTTTCCCCCCCTCAATAACTTCCCCCGACCCTTCTCCTTCCCCCTCCCCCCAACTTTTTTTTTCTTTTGGCTCAACAGAAAATCCTTGGTGTTCTTGATTTTAAAAAAAAATTGTTTGGTGTTCCTTGGTCTTAAAAAGTTTGAGAGACACTGCCCTAGACTTTAAGCCTTGCAATCATTGCAAACTGCCGATGTCCATTAGCGATCCCCAGAGTAGTTCTCTTAGGCATCACATCTGCAAGTCCTTCAAACCAGGGACTAAGGAGAAGCACGATACCTGACTCAAAGCACTCCTGGTGGAGTTGGCACTTGTTCCGGCCCTGGAGCAGCATTCTCACTTGGCACCTAGCACAGTGGCATCAGTGTGCAGTGCCTCACTGGTATCATCAGCAAGCTGGCACCGATTCCCTTTTGTGGCCCCAGCCAAAAAGCCAAAGAAGGCCAGTAGAGGACAGGCTGCTAGTCCCCAGAAGGAGAAGGACAGGGCTGAAGGTGAGCCAAGACCCACACAGTGCACCTCGTCATCCCCTTTGGGAAGTTAGACTTCAGCTCATGTTGAGTGATACAGCCCAGCATGTACCTCACATTAGAGCCCCAACATAAATGCAAGCCTCCATCAGCTCTAGGTACCATCGACACCTGAAGCTCTCCAAGTTACTCAGGAGATTGTAATGCTTCCAGTGCTGCCCAAACTGTCTCTAGCAGCGTTCAGATTTCAAGGTAAACCCGCCCTGGGACTTTACTGCCTGTCCTCACCTGAGCAATGCCACTCCTCATTGCGAGACACAGGGGAGCCTGCCAGGAGCAGGGAGGCAAATGCAGCCTGCTCACTCAGTGTGGGGAGCCCTGGACAGACCAGTAGCCTCAACAGTCCAACCCCCTCCAATACACGCGGCTTCCAGGAGACCAGGTGGACCAAGGGGAGCAGCCTGCTGATACTGGCATCTTCCTTGTCGTAGCCAGATGAGGCCAACACAGGGTCCCCTCGCTCAGTTCCCTGGGATGAAGCTAAAGCACACCAGGAACTGTTCAGAGAGTTGCTTCCAGCCTCTACTTGCAGGCAGGAATTGGAGGAGCAGGCAGACTCCCTGTTTGATGTCCTCTGCTTCACAGCCCCTGCCAGCGGAGCCTTGCTCATTCATGAAGGAGTAACAAAGATTACTGTGACAAACCCCTTCCTCCTTGCATCCCACCTCCAAAATGGCAAAGTGTAAAAACTTTTCCCAACTAAGAGGCACAACTACTTGTACTCTCACGTAGCCACTAATTCCTTGATAGTCAAGTCAGTTAATCCCAGGGTGTTTCAGGAGCAGCCTGCGGCTAGGTCAAAAAATATAAACTCCAAGTGGTTGGACCTGTTTGGACACACAATTTATTCGTCTTCTAGCCTAGAGTTGAAAATGGCCAAGCACCAGGCCCTCATTGGCCGCTATGACTAGAATATGTGGCAGACTGCAGCCAACTTAAAGAGCTCCCTCCTGGAAGGTTCCTGGAAACATTTCTAAGTAATCCTCGATTAGGGTACAGCCACCCAGGTAGTCATTCAAGTGGCATCTGATGTAGCAGACTCTGCTGTTGGCACCATGGTGCCTGCCATCTCCACTCAGTGAGCTTCCTGGTTGCTCTTCTCTGGGTTGTTCTTTGCACTAAAGCAGTCGATTCAGGGCCTCCCTTTCGAAGGCCAGGACCTGTTTGCAGAACAGATGGACATTAAGCTGTATGGGTTGAAGGATTCCCAGACCACTCTGAAAACATTGAGATTCTATTTTCCAGGCCCAGCATGCAAGCAGTTCAAACTGAAACTGACTCAGGGGCAAGGGAGTCATGATCCACCACACCAAAAAGCTAAGGGCTATAGATGCCACCCAAGTCATCTGCCCCCAACTTCTGGGCTCAAACCACTCCAAACAAGGATCCAAAAAGTCATTTTGAGGGTACACCCAGGGGTAACTTACCAGACTGTTCTCCAGATGCAATTTTCCTGTTTTGTTTTGTTTTTTCAATTGCCTTTAATTGTTCCTTCCTGCATGGACTGTTATAACTTCAGATCACTAGGTCTTCAGAACAATGTCGCAGGGCTATGCCCTCTAATTTCCCTCTGTCTTTCTTCAGGAACCCTTCTCACAAGAGTCTTCTCGGGCAGGAGGTTAAGGAGCTGCTGCAGCTGGATGCAGTGTAAGAGATTCTGCACACAGACAGAAACAAAGGGTTTTATTCCCAATGGTTTTTTTAATCTCAAAGACCAAATGTGGTCTTAGCATCATTCTAGATCAGAGACCCCTCAACAGATACCTAAAGAAGCTAAACTTCTGCATTGTCTCCCCGACCTCCATTATTCCCACCCTGAATCCAAGAGACTGGTATGTCACCTTCAACCTGAAGGTTGAATACTTTCACATAGTGATCTTTCCAGGTCACAGATGCTTCCTCTGCTGTACAGTGAGTTCTGCCCATTGCAGGTTTGTGCTCCTCCTGTTTTGACCTGGCTACAACACCAAGAGTGTTTACCAAGTGCATGGAAATAGTGATGGCTTACTTCAGGTGCTGGGATGTTGAGATCTACCCATACCTTGATGACTTATTGGTCAAAGGCAGATCTTAAGGCACGGGTCCAATGAGACATCATTGTTCTATAATCCATGTGTCACTCACTGGGTCTACTACTAGTCAATGACAAATTCCATGTTCGTTTCATTGCAAAGGATAGACTTCATCAGAGTAGTGTACAACTCAACCCATGCAAGGGAGTTCCTGTAACTTGACAGGGGCCTGACCTAATTGCAGAGGTATCCACATTTCCCCTGAAAATAGGCAGGGTGTGCCTCTGCCTGCTGGGCCACATGACAGTGCGCATATACATGGTCTTCTGGGCCAGGTTCCACATGTGGCTCTTTCAGCAGTGGCTTATGTCAACCTATTCCCAATCCAGGGATCACCTGGAAAAGATTGTAATTACCGCTCCAGTGGAACTTACCTCACTGCAGTGGTGGACTAATCACGAGAAAGTCCTGAAAGGAGTTCTGTTAGACAGTTCTCCTCGCTTGGCCAAGCTGGTGTTGGACACCTCAGACCTCAACTGGTGTTCGCATTTCAAAGATCTCCAGACTAGGGATGTAGAATCCTGGCTAATCTGTTCACTGTTGAACCTTAGTTGTGACTGGTTAATCGATTAAACAGGATCCCATGTGGGAGGGGCTGGCAGCCCCAAGTACAGCAGGGGAGGATAACTTCTGTTCCCAGCCCTCTGCCCATGCTGGAGGGGCCGATTCCTGACCCCTGCGGAGCTGCTCCTGTGTACGGGTATGTCTACACTGCATTCCTCTTTTGAGAGAAGAATGCAAATGCAGCCAAGCGAAATTGCAAATGAAGTGCGGATTTGAATTTCCTGTGCTTCATTTGCATAATCGCGTCCAGCTGCTATTTCGAAATACCCTATTTTGAGATAAAAAATGCCGGGTAGAAAGAAACCCCTTCTTTTGAAATAAACCTCATTTTTTGAGGAGTAAGGGTTAATGGTTATTTCAAAAGAAAGGGGTTCTTTCAAAATAACTGCATCTACATGGCATTTTTTATCTCGAAATAGGGTATTTTGAAATAGCGGCCGGATGCGATTATGCAAATGAAGCGCAGGAAATTCAAATCTGTGCTTCATTTGCAATTTCGCTCAGCAGCATTTGCATTCTTCTCTCGAAAGAGGAATGCAGTGTAGACATACTCTACCAGTTCACTGTTACCCAATAAGTATCACCTGTTAAGATGATGCACATTACTCATAAACATCAAAGAACTCAGAGTGGTCCAACTGGCTGAGAGATCTTCCTGCCTCACCTGTTGGGCAAAGTAGTGAGAACCTGATGGATAACCCAGCCTCATGTTCTATAATAACTGGCAAGGGGGAGGCAAGAGGCACTCAATCTTGTTGACTTCTGCGTCAGCAACAATCCATCAGGAAGCTTGTCAGCTCCCTGGCATCAGGAATACCCTAGCAAATCTCTCACCGTGAGCAGAGATGGCAAGTTGTATGGGCCCGTGGTGCCCAGCGAATATTCAGGGCCCGGTGGCCTGGCTCCACCAATGTTCGGGCCAGATCTTTCCTATGGCCCCACCTGCTGCCTCCCGCAGTTTCTCTCCTGGCCCCACCTGTCATCCCTGGGCAATTTAAAAGGGCCTGGGGGCTGCTTTCAACACCACCACCAGCAGCAGCGCAGTAGGACTAAGGTGGTGTCCTGTTCCCCTGCTCGATGTCACTTTCAGCAGTGACTGGCATGTCTCTGCAGCTCCGGGGGAAGCATGTCTGCGCATGCTGCCACTGACCTGAGCCCCTATCTGTTGCCATGCTGTGTGTGGGTTGCTTTTGTGAGCTAGTGCAGCTCAAGGTAAATGCTGACCCCCATACATCCTCCTGCTCCCAACTGTCTGCCCCATCCAAGATCCTGCACCTAATCTCCCTCCCAGAGCCTTAGGCAGGTATGTGAGGGTAGCTACCAAAAATTATCCAAATCTGCTGCTAGTGACCATGAGAGATTGTTCAGCTGTAATATGGCCAGTGTGATCTTCCAGAGGTTGGTGACCTTCCAAGTAGATCTGTTCACCACCAGGCAAAACAGAAATTGCCATTGTGTTAGCTTCTGGCAAGATCTGGGAAAGGATTCCCTCTCTGATGCCTTTCTTCTATCTTGCTCAGGGAATCTGTTGCATGTGTTCTCACTTATCCCTCTCATCAATGGGGTCCATCCTGGTAAAGATGAAGAGGGACAAAGTAGAGGTTATCATGATTACCCAGTGTGGTCTTGCCAGCACTGGTTTAGCACACTCAAAAACATGATGATAGCTCTTCTGTGTCCCCTTCCCAGCTGAGCAGACCCTGTTGTCCCAGGGTCATGATTGGCTCCAGTACTCTAACCTTGCAGCTCTATGCATCTTGGTGTGGAAGCTTTGTGGCTGAACCAGGAGAAGTGTACCTGCTCAGAAGAGGACCTGCGGGTAGGAAGTAGGAAGCCATCAACCAGATTCACTTACCAGGCCAAGTGGACAAGATTTTCCTGCTAAGTGTTTGATAAGATCCAGTAACAGCCCCACCTGGTCTTCCTGCCGAAAGTGGTCTCTACCTTCCATATGAACCAGGACATATTCCTCCTGGTGTTCTTTCCCAAGCCACACAAGACCAATGTGAAAAGGTGTCTTCACATGGTAGATGTCCAGAGGGCCTTGGCTTTTTACTTGGAATATACCAAGCCTGTAAATCAACCCAGCTCTTCCTCTCTACAGCTATGCCTGCACAACAAGGTAACCGGCAGAACGTTCATACCTCAAGTGCGTTTTTGCGCCCCCCCCCCAAAAAAAAGCAGTAAATTGACAGGACAGAGGGCTTTTGCTGTTGGAGTTATTCCTCTCCCCACATGGAATCACTCCTTTTTGCGCAACAGCTCTTGCGCAAAAAGGTGTGTGTGGATGGCAAACGGGTTTCTTGTGCAAAAAGAGCCTATTAGAAAAAGCACAGGTGTTCTGATGGCCATTCTGTTAATAGCGGGCAGAGCTTTCTTGCGCATGAGTGTTCATGCAATGTGGATGCTCTCTTGTGCAAAAGCACATTGCTTTTGTGATGCAGTTTTGAAGAGTGGACGCGTTTTTGCGCAAGAAGCTTTTGCACAAGAAGTTTTTGCAGAAGATCTTTTCCGCAAAAAGCTTATTGCGCAAAACCCTGCAGTGTAGACAAAGCCTACAGCAGATAGGGTGAAAGGCCTTGCGGTTTCCTCACAGAGGATTTCCAACTGGATCATCTTGTGCATAAAGACCTGTTATGAGCTGGCAGTGGTCCCGCCACCGGCAATTGGCAGAGCCCATTCAACTAGAAATCAGGTGTCCAAGGTGGACTTTCTGATGCACATCCCTATCTAGGACATCTGTACAGCCATGACTGATCCTTTGTTCGCATGTTCACGTCACATTATGTCATCAGTCAGCAGGCCAAAGATGATGCTAGGTTCTGCAGAGTTGTGTTGCAATCTACACCTCTATGAACTGCTGCTACCTGCCTTGGTTGGTACTGTTTGGAGTCACCTAGTGTAGAATGGACAGGTGCAAGCACTTCAAGAAGAAAGGACGGTTACCTATTTCTGTAATTGATGTTCTTTGAGAGATGTTGCTCATGTCCATTCCATGACCTGCCCTTCTTCCCCACTATTGGAGTTTCCTGCAAGAAATGGCTGTGGGTGGGAGGAGCTGGCAGCACCCCATATTCTGTGCCATGTGGACACCACTGCAAAGGACTCCACAACTCGTCTCCTATGGATACTGAGAAAAATACTCCTGGCACTAGCGCAGGTGATTGTGGAATAGCCATGGGCAACACACACACAACTCTTTTCTCCCACTCTGCTGGGGGATGATATCCAGCCAGTCCGTGAGGTCTGTTTGTGTGTGTGTGTGTGTGTGTGTGTTTTTTTTTTTTGTTTGTTTTTTTGTTTTTTTTAAAGAATCTGTTAGTCAGTTCCTGGGACCATACATCCTATTTGAGTTCCACCCAGTTATCAGATTTTAACATGCAAAAATGTTCCTGTATTTGAAGGAAATGAAGAATATTCATTGATGACTGATGTGCAGGCTGTATAATTATTCAGGCCTTATTGATAACTAATTTGTTTTAAAAAGGTAACACTGCTATTTAGTGAATAGTTTTCATACCCCATGAGATATTTTCTAGAATTGATTATAAAATTCAGACTTCTCCTTCCCCTCCTCTTTCTTTCTTCAGATTGAGGAACGTGCTATTCAGGATTTGCTAATCCACTACACAGCTTTTGACAACCCTGATGAATTTGTTGTCATTGAAAGGGCTCCACAGGGACCTATCGCAACACCTTTATGGAACAAGCACTGATGCTAATCCATCATGAATGTCATGAAGATGTGTCTACTTCAGAGTTTTTGACTTTTATTACAGGTAGAACTGGACTGGGGACGAAGAGTCGTGTAAATTTAGTATCAGTGTTAAAATGCTGCACATAATCTGCATGTGTCTGATTATTCTAGAAAACAAGTGCAGACTACAATTTGTGTCCATTATTCACACTGTATAATGTACGTATATTTTGACTACAAACTTAACCCGATCCTGTGTTGTTAACATTCTGTATAAAATTGTTTAGTGAAAATACATTTGCTTTATATTAAGGTTTGGTCCCTATTTAAGACAGTAAGGTTTTTGTTAAATTCACAGGTGGTGGTGAAAAGTAGGAACTAATTTTGTGATTATTGTAAAACAGACCCTGCAAAATCATGCATATTTTAAATATGAGCACTTAATCAGGATTGAAAGGACAGATTAGAAATAATCCCAAATATATTTTTGCTTAAACTTCATCTAAAAATACAATTTGGCAATGCAGTTTCCCCTAACCTCTGATATGTATGTATGAGTGCTGGTCCTCTCAGCTTATAGTACTTTTGATGTCACTCTTCATGATGAGACTCTGTGCTGGCCTTAAAGTGCTGTGCTGCTATATGCTTCCAGTTCAGTTGTGTGTGGTTTCATGCTGTTGTTGGATTGGCATTTTGAGCAGCCTGAGCTATATAATAAGCTAAAATGAACACAGTTCCAGTGGGATGTGGTATCACTAGTTGGTGTAGGCTAATAAATTGGTACCATGTTATAACCACCGTGTTAAAGTACAGTATATTTAAAGTGCTAGGGAAATGGGAAACATGTATGTTAACTATTAGAACTACAAGGATGAATGCTTAACTGTGGATTTTAAAAATGTCTGTCCTGCAAAGATTCAATATTGTGTTTAAAAAGTTTGTTGTGCCTGGTTTCTCTGAACAGATTTATAAAAATTGTTTAATAGCTTTATGTACAATAAGCTGTCTTGTTGGTTTGTGTTTGGGTAGTTACATGTGGATTTACCAGTTTCAGTAATTTCAGCGTTTACATATATCTTGGGCAAACTGGAGAGGATCAGGCTTAGAGAAGGTAGTATACCCAGATGAATGTACAAAGCAATCACTGTGTGATAAATTATCTGAGTCTTGAAAAACAATGTAGCTGCATCTAATGGCTTCAGGTGAGCTACATTTTAAAAAAAAGCAAATGTAAACAAATGCAATAAACATTAAAATCTCAATTCACACAAATTTGTGTACTTTTTTTATGCCATTGTTTAAAACTTGACTTTTGTGGCAGAGTATTTCTAAAATTATTTTCATCTTATATAGTACGTGAGAAGCATGCTTAATATATGATAAAAGTTCAAGTAAACTCCTGTAAGAGGGAGAGGATTGCTGTGGAAGATTTCAATGTATTTAAATGCTAATGCTTATTATTTGAAGATTTTCAGTAACTGGGTGCTGCAATGCCTCTTGCCCTTTAAGTTTTATAAAATAGCTGTATCAAGATTTTTTTTAAAAAAAGCAATTACTGCAATAATAAATTGATTTAACAGCTGAAATTGATTTCCACCCATTATCTTATTTCACTAGCAAATACGATTCATGTAGTTTTTTTTTTAAAAAGTCGCTGTTTTGCAGTATTTTGGAAAAAGTGTTTCATACTTCCTTTCTAAACTACCTGTGAAAACTATACCCACTTTTGCATATTTTGAAAGCTGTGTAACTCTGGCAGTCCAGATGCGAGCATATGACAAGACCCAGAACTCACTGAACACTTAGACTGATTTCCATCTATGTTTGTGTAGCTATAGAATGTAGCACCTGTTTGCCTGGGATAGTTTCCCTGCTTTTGACAGTCTACCCTAAAGTAGGCACTCATAGATGTGAGCCATTCCAGGTAGTGCGGCAGTCTTAATTTGTATACATTGAGAGACTGAATATACAGGTTGTACCTCCTTTAACTGGGACTCTCTGGTCCAGCAACATGCGTGGTTTGGCAGGACCTGGGATGTTCCTGGACCACAGAGCCAAGATATAGGGAGGTCAGGCCATGGGACTGGAGCAAGGCGGGGACAATAACTCGCTTGGGAGCCCCTTGTCGGAAGAAGGGGGGACGCAGAGGAGTGGGCAGCGGAGGGTTCTGCTCCCCTGGTAGGTAGCAGGGGTCGGCAGTGATGACAAAGCTCTGGCCCTGGCTACAGCCAGGGAGCTCCAGATCCAGACAAAGAGGTTGGGGTCTAGCAGTGACTGCGAAGCTGGGGCTGCAGAGCTCCAGCCACGGAACTCAGGGTCCATCTGTGGAGCTCCAAGCCATGGAACTCTGGCCACGGATCTCAGGATCTGACTGCGGAGCTCTGGCCACAGATCTCGGGGTCCAGCAGTGGCAGCTAGGGAGCTTCAGCCTGGAGAGCCACGGCCAGGCAGGTAGCAGTGGAGGTGAACTTGGAGCCCTGTCGGGGGCAGGAGTTCAGCATGGGCCATGTTAGGAGGGACCTCTCCTGGTCCGGCAAATAATAGGGCCGGAAGAGACCTCAGGAGTTCGTCGAGTCCAGCCCCCTGCCCAAAGCAGGACCAACCCCAACTAAATCATCTTAGCCAGGACTTGATGAAGCTGAGACTTAAAAACCTTTAGGGATGGAGATTCTACCACCTCCCTAGGTTACCCATTCCAGTGTTTCACCACCCTCCTAGTGAAATAGCTTTTCCTAATATCCAACCTAGACCTCCCCCACTGTAACTTGAGACCATTTCTCCTTGTTCTGCCATCTGTCACTACTGAGAACAGCCTCTCTCCATCTTCTTTGGAACTTCCCTTCAGGAAGTTGAAAGCTGCTGTCAAATCCCCCCTCACTCTTCTCTTTTGCAGACTGACTAAGCCCAAATCCCTCAGCCTCTTCTTATAGGTCAAATGCTCCAGCCCCCTAATCATTTTGGTTGCCCTCTGCTGGACCCTCTCCAATGTGACCTCATCCTTTCTGTAATGGGGGGCCCAGAATTGGATTCAATATTCCAGATGTGGCCTCACTAGTGCCAAATAAAGGGGAATAATCGTATCTCTAGATCTGCTGGCAATGCTCCTCCTAATGCATCCTAATATGCCATTAGCCTTCTTGGCTACAAGAGCACACTGTTGATTCATATCCAGCTTCTCATCCACTGTAATCCCCAGGTCCTTTTCTGCTGAACTGCTACTCAGCCAGTCGGTCCCCCAGCCTGTAACAATGCTTTGGATTCTTCCATCCCAAGTGCAGGACTCTGCACTTGTCCTTGCTGAACCTCATCAGATGTATTTTGGTCCAATCCTCTAATCTGTCTAGGTCACTCTGGACCCTATCCCTGCCCTCCAACGTATCTACCTCTTCCCCAAGCTTAGTATCATCTGCAAACTTGCTGAGGGTGCAATCCATCCCCTCATCCAGGTCATTAATGAAGATGTTGAATAAAACTGAGCCTAGAACCAAACCTTCGGGCACTCCACTTGAAATTGACCGCCAACTAGACATCAAACCGTTGATCACTACCTGTTGGGACCGACAATGTAGCCAGCTTTCTATCCACCTTACAGTCCTTTTATCCAATCCATATTTCCTTAACTTGCTGGCAAGAATATTGAGAGACCGTATCAAAAGCTTTGCTAAAGTCAAGGTATATCACATCCACTGACTTCCCCATGTCCACAGAACCAGTTACCTCATTATAGAAGCTAATCAGATTGGTCAGGCTTGACTTGCCCTTTGTGAATCCATGTTGACTATTCCTGATCATTTTCCCCTCTTCCAGGTGCTTCAAAATGGATTCTATGAGGATCTCCTCCATGATTTTTCTAGGGACTGAGGTAAGGCTGACTGGTCTGTAGTTCTCTGGATTTTCCTTCTTCCCTTTTTTAAAGATGGCCACTACATTTGCCTTTTTCCAGTCATCCGGGATCTTCCCCGATCTCCACAAGTTTTCAAAGATAATGGCCAAAGGCTCTGCAATGACATTTGCCAACTCCCTCAGATGCATTAAATACACAAATTCATGGGTCTGGATGTCTAGCTTTTCTAAATAGTCCTTAACCTGTTCTTTCTCCATCGAGGACTGCCCACCTCCTTCCCATACTGCATTGCATAGTGCAGTAGTCTGGGAGATGACATTATCTGTAAAGACAGAGGCAAAAAAAGCATTGAGTCTTTCAGCTTTTCCCACATCATGTCATTAAGTTACCTCCCTCATCGAGAAAGGGCCTCACACCCTCTCTGATCACCCTCTTATTGCTAAAATGACTGTAGAAACCTTTCGTGTTACCCTTCACATTCCTTGCTAGCTGCAATTCAAATTGTGCTTTCGCCACCTTGATTACTCCCCTGCATCCTCGAGCAATATATTTATACTCCTCCCTAGTCATCTATCCAAGTTTCCACTTCTTATAGGCTTCCTTTTTGTGTTTAAGCTCACCAAGGGTTTCCCCTGTAAGCCAATCTGGTGGCCTATCATATTTGCTTTTCTTACTGTGTAACAGGATGGTATGTTCATGTGCCTTCAGTTAGGCTTCTTTAAAATACAGCCAGCGCTTCTGGACTCCTTTCCCCTTCATGTTAGCCTCCCAGGGCACCCTGCCCATCAGTTCTCTGAGGGAGTCAGAGTCTGCTTTTCTGAAGTCCAGGGTGTGTATTTTGCTGATCTCCTTTCTTCCTTCGATCACTGCTTCCCAGGTTGCCACCCACCTCTACTTCCCCTTCTAGTTTCTCCCTGCTTGTGAGCAGCAAGTCAAACTGCACATGACCCCTGGTCGGTTCCTTCAGCATGTGAACCAGGAAGTTATCCCCAACAGTCTCCCAAAAACTTCCTGAATTGTCTGTGTACTGATGTATTGGTTTCCCAACAGATGTAAGGGTGATTAAAGTCCCCCATGAAAACCAGGGCCTATGATCTGGAAGCTTCTCTTGTGTGAAGAAAGCCTCGTCTACCTTATCCACCTGATCTGGTGGTCTATAGCAGACCCAACCACATCATCACCCCTGTTGCTCCTGCCTCTAAACTTAATCCATACTTAACCCTAAACCTCTCTCTCTCGCTCTTGCTCTCGCTTTCTCTCTCTCTCTCATATACTGGAGCTCTGAGTAATCATACTGCTCTTACATATAATGCAACTCCTCCTCCTTTTCTTCCCTGCCTGTTCTTCCTGAACAGTTAATTTTCTTCCATGACAGTGCTCCAGTTATGTGAGTCATCCCACCAAGTCTCTGTTGTTCTAATCAAATCATAGTTCTTTGACTGGGCCAGGGCTTCTAATTCTTCCTGTTTGTTTTCCAGACTTCTTGCATTCGTGTACAAACACCTAAGCGTACAACTATTTGATTGCCCTACTTTCTCCATTGGGATCAGGGGTCCTCCTTTGTTGCTCGTTCCTCCTTGTGTTTCTTCCCAGTATCCCAGTTCCCCACTTGATTCAGGGCTTAGGTCACCATCCCCCGATGAACCTAATTTAAAGCCCTCCTCACTAAGTTTGCAAGACAGCCCCCGAAGATGCTCTTTTCTCTCTTGGTTAGGTGGATTCCATCTCTTCCTAGCAATCCTTGTGCCCAGAATAGAGTCCCATGGTCAAAGAAACCAAAGCCCTTTCTCCGACACCACTTGTGCAAGCAAGCAGTTACTTCCACAATTCGACGATCCCTACCCCTTTTCCTTCAACAGGGAGGATAGACGAGCACACCACTCATTCGGGACAGGTCAGGTCCCAAGGATACCAGATGAGGAAGGTCGAACCTGTATCAAATTTTTGGGTTGCACTCAGAGTTCTTAAGTAATGTGTCATTGGTTATACTTAATTTTGGTATTATGTGTATACACATGATATATGGTATTTTGTGATATTATTTATGTACACTTTCATGAAATTGAAAACTCATCTTTGGAACAATTGCATTAATGTAGTTTATATTTTACAGCCAAAATCTGAGGCAAAAAGCTTTGAATGAGGATCATATTGGAAACAATATATGAGCTTTACATTTAAAAGTACAATAAATAAAATTAAAAGTTAGCAGGTGGCTTGAAAGATTTGGAAATGTTGAAATCAGCATTTCAAAATATAGTGGGTAAGATACATTCAGGAGGCAAATTACTGTACTTACTTCAGTACATGAAAATTAAGTGTAATTTATTTACACTTTATTCTGTTTTCCTGAATGTGACCAGAAGTTTGCATTTAAATGTTTAAGGTATGTTAAAAGTTAGTGCTATTTTATTTCTT